AATCTGTAATTTTCTCCTATTGATTGGGAAATTTATTTCTTTCTAAACTTTTCTAAAATCCTAAAATTTTGCCTATAATAATATTCAGAATTATTACTATGCAGCTAAGCAACTTCAATAATCGGGAGATATTTTCATTTCATTTAACTAGAAAATTATATTAGTATCACTTTCAGCATTCAGTTGTTTAGCACTTTAACTGAAAGTATTGAGATAAAAAAAAATGATGTTGCTAATTTTACTTTTGGTTAGTATGAGTCCCTAATGCACCCAACTCTTTTCTGCTTCCTGGCAAAAGATTTAATCTTTGTCAGCACTGCAGAGTGAATACTATTGTGAAAAAGCAAACAGCAACCTATTCAGACTCTTGCACCATCAGCAAAGCATTGGGCTAGATTCTCTGGATGGTGCTTCTCAGTTATACTGCACAGGCCCCCACTTTGGAATAGAGACTATATTCTCACTCAGGCCTGCATGAGCTTTCCCATGTTTAACCCTTAACTGCAATGGTTTGCTTGAAAGCAGTATCAGCCTTCCACGGACTAATCAATAATGAGTGATTGTTCCCCTCTACTTATCAGTTGTGAACTGTATCTAGAATTTCTACTTCTAATTTTGACCTCCCTAGTATTAAAAAAAAAAAAAAAAAAAAAAAAAAAAGATATTGACATACTTGACATACTTGACTAAGTCTATCAGAGAATGACAAAAATGACAAAGTTGATAACAGCACATTATAGATGACAAAAAGCAGGGAGAAATTGAGTTACTCACCTCTGAAAAGAAAAAGCGTGGCGGGATGTGTGTGTGTGTGTGTGTGTGTGTGTGTGTGTGTCTTCAAACACCTAGCAAGAATAGAGAGCTTCTTGTGAAATGAGAATTAAGGTTAGAGAAGAAAGGTGTCTTTTCTTTGGTAAAGGCACAAAGACTTTAATTCTCCTTAGTCCTAGAGATAGAAATAAGGATTTACAACCATGTTCTTGTAAATAAGAGAAGGTACAGTACTTCAGATGAAATAAACAATGATAAAAGATGAAGTAAAGATAAGCAACAACTTCTGACATCTAAAAATAATACTGAGAGAAGACCTGAGGGCCAAGAAGAGATTTGTAATCTTTGTTAATAAGTAAACATAACCTTACTATTCTTGGGTTAAGCTTCCAAACTGTTAATTATATGCTAATCTCACTGGGACTATTTGTCCCACTGATGTCCCTTGTTCCACAGTTTTCAGAGGGAGCCTCATGTTTAGCTATTGCTAAACTGAGTGCTACATCATGTCTACTAAATAGTGACCAAAGAAAGACAGGTCCACTCTAAAGGAAGATTCACTTCTACAGAATGCTGCCCTTCCTTAATACCAAAGCTTAGCATTCTGAATACTACATCACTTTCTAAGGTACTGACAGCCTCACTGGGATTCAAAGGTGAGTGCCAAAGATCTAGAGCTGTATGTCTGAATTTACCTCCTCTCAGTGTTATTTCAAGTCCTACAGTGATTATAAGCAAAAAAGTTTTGGAGCCTTCCCATATACCATTCTGCTTGACCTTGGGAGGAAAGGATCTCCTACCTTTTAATTTCCTACCTTTTAATTTAATTTTCTCTTTCTTCACGACACTGACAAAAGCAAAACCTGGCCCTATATACGTATATTACAAATATTTACACAGATCTTGTAATAGCTAGGAATAAAATTATTTGCAGCATTGTCAACAAATATTATCTCACCAAATATCCATGCAGCTGATGAAAGAATAGAGACAGGACATACCCACCTTTTGTATCCTGTTATAAAGGTCCAGTTTTATAACACAGACTCCCATTTTTTTCTGGCTAAAATGAAATAAACTACTGCTGGATCCCTAAAGCATGGCGAATTTATTAGTGTTTCTGCTCTAGTAACCTCTACGGCAGACAAACTACATCAACTAGTATAAATATAGCAAAAAGTAATAAAATAAACAATTGTCCAATATTCACCTGTCATTTCCAGTATATTCCTTTTAGTAGTATAATTTATTCAGTGTGTTATTTTCTGGTAGCTTGATGTTTTTATTATTTTGTTCTCAGTAAATACATGACAATAGTTTGTTTTTCTGCTTCACAGTTGTTGCTGAACTAACAGTTATCTAGTTTGAATTGTTTGGAGCTACTAAAACGGAAAATAAAAAATATTTGATAAAACAGGGGGGCCAATATATATATATTATATATATAAATATATATTTATATTGGGGGGCCAATATATATTTAAGTCTCTTGCTTAAGATTTTATTTTGATTTGTTCTCTTCTTGTCGGTGGCAGTGGTGGAGATATTTGTTTGGTTTTTTTGGAGGGCTAAATCCACAGGACTGTCTTTTATTACAGGCTATTTTTGTATAGCATTTACGATTTATATAAGCATAAGCATTATATAATTGTACCACTGTGCAACTGTATACAATTTATAACAATTTATGCAACAACAACATGTGGTAGGATGTGGACCAGAAATAACTATTTTCTAACCTGCTGATAAACACACATTCACAGAGAACATAAAATAACAGGTTGATAAAGTTCTTTCTTGCTCTTTCTCACATTTGGCATTTATCTATCTTTATCGTATTGCTAATGATATTTTGTTTAGGGGTCTTTCTACTAACTCCTCTGGAGCATGATTTACAGGTTGTATCGAAACTTTTGCTGATGAGAATACAACATATTTTGTAGTGGGAATATCACCAGGTGAAGGTTTACATCTGAGAGGTGAACATAGATTGTGTGGCTAACAGTTATGACCAGCTCTCAGCATTGAACTAATCCTTCAAATACGGCACTTAAAGACAACCTAGAGCTTTAGTCAAAATGGTTGATGATAACACCCTTTGCATAAAGAGGTCATTCCAATATTGTTTACCAGAAAATCAAGGTAAAAGACCGAAGTGTAGAACCAGTTCTTAGCTTAAACCCAAGATTTTACATAGACTTTGTATGTTTAGTACTATGTTTCTTCTCAACAAGAGAAATGTAACTTTACAGTGCTTTCAGCAGTAAATTTTTTCATGTTTAGGAAAATTCTTTACTAAACATGTATTCACCATGTCCCTTACCCATCTTTTCTGATTACTGTGCCTAAGAAATGAGGCTGTTCTATAAAAGCAGGCTTTCAGGAGCTAGAACTAGCCTATTTAAATAAATAAATAAACAAACAAACAAACAAACAAACAAATAAATAAATAAATGGAAATGAAAAGGATTAAGGCACTGCATGGAGGTGTTAAGGAAGTCATATAACGGCATCCCAGGGCTAGAAAATGGCATTAGGCACAGGTCTTATTTCTGGATGCATACCTGAGAAATCCAGTGTTATTCATTAAACAGGCAAAAGCCATGTAGGTCTGATGCTAATTAACTAGTGTACATCCAGAAGAGGCATATATCAGGTAAAAGGAAAAACATCTCACTGGGCTATCTACATTAGATAACAGGACTTGAAGAAAAAGAGGGAATTGTGAAAGAGTTCCTGGTTCAAGAAGGCAAATTGCTGGCAGATTTGAAAGATAAGATACATAGATTCATGAATGCAAATAGGGCAAGAGAAGTATCTATAAACATTAAAAAGGCCACAATTTGCCTCTTTGAAACAGAAGTAATCGATCACACCTGATTAATTCAAGATTATTTAATCTTCCTAAATAATGACGAGAGAATTTGGCTTTAGGTTACTTTAAAAAAAAAAAAAAAAAAAAGTAACCATTTCTGTAATTGAACATTAAGCACTGAAAACTTCACATGGTGCACTTGACAGTTTGTCTTTTAGTCTTTTTTATTGTTGTTTATTTATTAAAGACATTTGAGGAAGAAAGAAGAAAAGTGTTATTTTATGTTACAGAAAACAGGAGAAATCTGTAACTTCTGACCTGAAAGGGTTTCAACTTTTATTTTCTTGCAAGTAATATTCTATTTCCATTAAATACAATTTAATCCTCATCAAAAATCTGCAAAGCCCTGCATATTTAGCATTTCTGTGGTTCAGAAGTACAAAAAAAGCAATACAGAATCAGATCCGTATGCCACCGTTCTCTTCCTCTCTCTTCCCCCTCTCCTACCCAGAATTACAGTTTTGAAGGAGGAGTTGTATGATGGAGCTATGCTGCCTTTTCTATGATTCTTTCTCATGAGTAACAGCATTCCTACTTTTAAAAAAGTATCTGGGTTTTGTCCTTTTTATTTTTCACACTATGGCCATAGTAAGTAGAGCTTGGGGATGCTCAGGCCTAAACTCGCTGCGCTACTCTGCACTGGGCAGAGCTTCCGCCTGACAAGAATCACACCCAAAGCTCTGAAAACACGCCCGGGGCTACTTATTCCACACACAAAACATGTGGGTTTCAAAAACCAAGCCAAGCCATCATTTAATTATCACATGCTCCCTTTTATGTCCCGCTGCTCGTGCTTCAGAAGCAGCAAAGGCTCATTACTCGCAGCATACCCAGACACTTGAGACTTTCTAAACCCTAATCTCAACCACCTCCATCCGCGCTCGCCGCCCGCCCCATTTAATGGCGCCTAGAGCGGGGCAGCGGGACGGTTGGCGAGCGCCGCGCAAGCCCCGCTGCCATGGCAACGCCGGGCGGGCTGCGATGCGCATGCGCCATACCGCTCCCTCCCCCGCCGCCGGCCCCCCGCCCTCCCTTCCCCCCCACCGTATCTGCGGGAACAGGGAGACGCTTTGGCGCGCGCAGGCGCACGAGCGCTCCGGCGGCTGCCTGCGGGCGGCGCATGCGCGCTGCGGCTCCGCTTCCCCGCGTGGGTGTCTCCCTAGGGTGGACACGGGAGGGGGGGGGGAGCGCTGAATGAAAACCGGAAGCGGAAACGCCGCGAGCGAGTAAACCGCTTTTCCCTCAGTTAGGCGGATTCCGCGCCGCTTCCCCCGGCTATCGCGCTCGGTCCCAACTGCCACAACCGCCGCCCGGCTGCCCTGCCCTGCCCCGCCGCCGCCAGCGCCCGCGCCCGCCGCACGGGGGAGGGACCGCTGCTCGCCGCGCCGCCCACGCCCTCGCGCCGCGGAGCTCTCGCCGGGCCCTCGCCGTCTCGCCCGCCCGCGCCTCTGCCCGGCGGCCGCGATGTCCGACAAGGAGTTCATGTGGGCCCTCAAGAACGGAGACTTGGATGAGGTGAAGGACTACGTGGCCAAGGTAGGCAGCAGCGGGCCTGGCGAGGGCTGAGGGGCGGGTTTGTGTGTGGGGGGGTGTTTTACAAGGGCCTCTTTTTGAGGGGAGAATGGGCAGTCAGCCTGGTGGGTGTCGGAGCTGGGAGAGGCAAGTGCCTCGCAGGGTCTGCGACCTGCTCGGGGAGAGCCGCTTTGTCGCAGCCGTGAGCTTTTCACGGTGGCAAGGGGCTGGGCGGGAGGACATGCTTCCCTTCCCCCTGCGGGGGCCCTCTCGGTTACTGCGTGCTTCCTCCTTTCCTCCCTGTCGCTCTGCGCCTGCCCCTGCCTCCTATCCACCCTCCTGCTGAAGTTATTATAAGAAGTCCGCTATGCGGGCTTTGTGGCACGAGTAGCCAATGTCCTAGTCTTGCCTTATTAATCTTCTGTATCTGTGTGTGTACATATGTATTTATATATGTATGTGTGCGCACACACACATATGTGGCCCTGATTTCGTTATCCTACCTCCCTGTGCCTCAGGGCTCATCCTTAATAGGGTGATGCTAAGCTGCCAGGTATGTTGAGGCTTAATTCATTAACCTTCAGCAAAGTGTTTTGAGATCCACTTAGGGCTAAAGGAACAATAGACACCTGAGTAACAAGTGAAAAATCTTCAAATACACCACACTATTTGCAGGCCAAATACTGTCCTTATTTGCCTTCAGTTGCTGATGAGGTTTGTGGGAGAAGTGCCTGTGCTTGACAACCAGATTGTGCTTCACTGACTCCTTAGTGTTTAGGAACACCTTAAACTATTATGTCAACTACTATGTCACAATAGACATTCACAAGCTTTTTGCTAGTTCAGTTATACTTATTTAGACTTCTCAGTGCATTAATAATTGTTTTTGGAAGCTTAAGGTATTGACAGGTGCTGACATATCTTACTGAGGTGATTTAAGCTCCTTCTACTCCATTTGTCAGCTTTGGTTGAAAGTTACCCAAACTTGCAGTGCTCTTGGCAGAAAGAAACATGTTTGAGTACTTCCAGCTGCTTTGGTACAAAGTCCAAAGATTTAACTTGAATAGTCTTCTCTGACAGTTTCAGCTAAGCTACTGGACTTTGCATCAAAGTGATTGCCTGCTCACATGCTCTGCTCTGTCTATGGAATGCATGAGATAATAATTAGAAATAATATGTTATCTCACTTAAGCCATTTTTTAATTATCGTGTACTTGTTCTTTTCATATTCAAGTTGGATGTTATGCTGGTTTGGTTCTATTTCCTGTCAGTCGTAGGCCTCCAAAATTTATCAACAGGTAATGTGGATTATTACTGCAGCTTTGGTAGGAATTCTGTATATTTAGAGAGTTCAGTACACAGTAGCGCTAACAGATTCTGACAGCCTGTCAGTTTCTGAAACAAAAACTTTGACAGTCACCCTCCTTAATACAGGGGCCAAACTATTCTCATTGGTGACCAGTGATAGGACAAGGGGCAATGGGTGTAAGCTGAAACACAGGAAGCTCTGTCTCCATGTGAGGAAGAACTTCATTCGTGAGAGGGTGATAGAGCCCTGGCACAGGCTGCCAAGGGAGGTTGTGGACTCTCCTTCTCTGGAGGTCTTCAGAACTCACCTGGATGCCACCTTGTGCCACATGCTGTAGGTGTCCCTGCTGGAGCAGGGGAGTGGACTAGATCATCTGTAAAAGTCCCTTCCAACCTTAACCATTCTGTGGTTCTATGTAGTCAGTTTGTATTGCAAGACTATTAAAGTACTAGTTACACATGCTTTTCATACTTCTACCCTTTCTGAGTGGTTCTGCTATAGATGCAGCAATTTTGTCATTTCCCACTTCCCCTCCTCCTACCTCCCCTCCCTCCCCCCCTCCCCATTTTCAGATATGCTCTTTTTTATCCTAGGTCTTAAGTATCATAATCATACTAACTAGAGAAGAAAAACAAAACATACTTTTTATGCCTTTATGTTTGCCTTGGCACCTTGTGGGCTTGTAAACTTCCTTGACAACTTTTGGGCTAGTAAACTTTTAGTCTGGTTTTCCGTGGAAATAAAGCTTATATGACCAAGTCTAGCTGGTCGTCTTCCTTTTTGTTGCTTATTAATCTCTTTTTTGTGGGGGAGAGAGGGGGGCAACTTTCTGATAATCTTTACATGGTACAGGCTTTCAAAGGTGCTGATAGTTTTTCTGAAACTAAGTTAGCTAAAGGAGGGAGATGTTGCAGGAAGGAAAAGACTGCAGGAATGAACTTTTGCATTACTAGACAACAGGAAACATGCATTAAGGGACAAGAACTCAGATCCACTGACAGTGGGAAAAGCCCCTCAACTGGAGTCCGTACCTTGCTTCCTGAATTAAACAAGTGAGGACAAATCAATACTTTGATAGTTCTAGTTTAAAAGAGTATTGTTCTTTTCCGTTCTTTCCGTTCACTTCAGATCATCTGAAGTGCTTACCAAATTGCTTATCATTAGCAGATTATCATTGCTTATCAAACATATAGCTTCTGTTCCCTGCTGATTTCCTCTTCCAGTTATGATTGAGCATTCTGGAATTTTGCGAGAATTATATAAAACTCTGCACTAGTAGAGTTTTCTTCTTATACAGTGTATTAGGGTGTCTTACATAACTTGCAAGCTACATCTTCATAAAATGCTAGTTTTCCTGTCTTTTCTTGAAACTTCTAATTTCTAATGTTCATCTGTTTCAGTTCTTCTATTCTAAATTCCACATTAGGTCATTGGATGTGATGCTATTTATAATACAGTTATGGTGCCAATTGTATGGTAAATAACTTCTGATTCTCTTTAATATCTAAATGTCAGGGCTAGACATGCAAACTATATGACCACAAGTGCATTAAAAATAATAGTCTTTAACCCCATCAGTGGGGTTATAAGAGCTGAGCACTGATAGTCATAGCTTCACTTGTCGTAAACTGCAAAGATTCTGTCTTTGGAATCATTGGTTTCTGTTTCTTCACCTTGAGTTTGGTTAGTAGGTATCAGTCTAGATAAGGTACCAATTGATGTACTTTGATTCAAACATCAGTTGAAATCCATTCTTTTTGATGGCTGATCTGTCCTCTAAGTAGAGAAAGGATCTGCCACTTCAACGGTTTTTAAACAGCAAAAAATTAGAGAGGTAGAAGGAAGAGTCTCCATTTGTTTGGTGTATCTTTATCTAAAGAAAGAAATTTCTTTTATTCAAAAGACACTTTCCTTAAAAAAAAAAAAAATGGCTTTCATGTAAATATACTCCTGTGTGTTGGCAACAAAATAGGCAAATGCCAAGTATTATTACTTTGTTCCTTCACAGCAAAGAACTTAGTACTGCTAGCATGTGGGTTTGGAAGACATGGCTGTCTTGATTAAAGATAAGAAACGTTATTTGTACAATTTGAATAGTCCTGTAAGGCTTCTTTCTTTTCAGGAAAAGGAACTTAGTCTCTGTTTCTCAACTTGTAACAGTGTCAAGTTTTTTTATTTATTTTAAGCATGGATTTCTACTGAAGTACTGTGGTTGTAGTCTGTCAAGACTAGCTCTTAAATATGATGTCCTCTTTTTTTTTTATGCTGACTATATAAAAAGTATTTTTTTTACTGTTTGTTTTCTTTCAAATATTGCCAGCATATGTTGCCATCAGAGGTGTCTCTTCAGGGCTGTGTTTGAAGCAAGTCTTCACTCTCCCCCCATATATCCACTGAAATTCTTAAAATTCTACAAGAAAGCAGAAGTTTCATAGCAATAGATGAATCAAATGAGCTAGTCAAATGATGTAGGAGTACCCATGCAGAACTGAGAAATTCGCTTCCTTCATGGACAGAAGACAGGGTTTAAAAACTGCAGTGTGAAATAACTCAGTGAGTGTGTGTGTGATATATAATCCATAATATATATACACATATATGTTATGTTTTGCAAAACCTTATTTCATTAGCACGAATGGTATTCATTTTTTTTCCCTTTTTTTGTCTTTCTTCCCCAGTGGAATAAGTGAGATACAGTGCATAATTGCTTATAAAAACTCTGTTGACAAAAGTACACAAAATATTTCCAGCTAGCCATGGATTTTTCAGTTTAAGTGTAATTCCCATTCAGTTACTAGGCACAAAGACTTTAGCAAGATCAACTTTATTTCTTAGAAAGAGGTAACAAGGTTGTTTTTTTTTTTTGTCCCAGATTAATTGCATCTCCCATAGCTGAACTTCATTTCCATGAGCTGTTGTAATCCTCTATATTGCTTTTTCAAACTTGCCACAGGTGACAGGTGTTGTTCAAGTCTTTGAGTGCGAGAGAAGATATTTAAATATTTCTTGACCAAAAGTTATAAGCAAAGAGAAATAAGAGAAATAAATAACTTTTTGGAGTTAGCCTCCTTTCTTTTGCTTAGAAATTATTTCTATTTCTTAGGAACAAACTAAAAGAAAATAAACACTAAAGTCAGCCTTATATGCAAGTGGATAACTTGAGTAACAAATTAATCATTCACCATGAATACACTGAAATCCCACTTGGTTCAATGTGTATTCTGCTCACATGTAGTTCACAGTTATGGTCTATATTGGTAACTGGATTGCCTCAGATACAGAAACAATTTTCATATTTAGATCTAGTGCAACCCTTCAAGCCTTGTGGGGTTACAGTGCTGCATAAATGGACCTCTGTGGTTGTGCAGGAGCATATCAAGACCTGAGTTGACCTGGAGCTGCTGGACTGAGTTTGGTCCACATGAAGCTGTTCAGGTATCTATGTAGTGTAGCTCCCTAGTGTTCTAATAAAGAAAAACACATGCAATGCAAGTATTACCCAGAGTCTGCCAAGTCTTGCATTATTTTGATTTGATTACTCTTGAGGGTACTTGAGTGATCTCTTGAGACACAGTTTTTATTTAGCTCTACTTGAAGTTGGTCTTTCAATTTACGTTTTGTTGATTTGAGCATGAGCTAAGTTTTTCTATTGGGAAACAAAACAGTTGCTTACCACTGAGTGGCTATGAAGACGTAGGGAGGAGAAACATTTAGT